GTGTGACTGTGCGTGTGTTTGTGTGTGGATAATATGTGTGTGTGTGTGTCTGTGTATGTTTGTGTGTGTGTGTGTGTGTTTGTGTATGTGTGTATGTGTGTGAGTGTGCGCGTGTGCGTGCGCGCGTGTCTCTACAACTATGTTTGGGTAGGAGAAGAGGGTGTAGAGAATGGTAGGCTTACAGGCTAAATCTAAGAACCAAAAAATGCTGAAATTGTTTAATATTAAAGTAAAGATAACAAAAATTAACATACAAATAAAAACAAAAAGAACGAAAATTTTAAAAAAGGAAAAAGGGTTTGGGTTGGATGAGTGGATGAAAAGGAAGAAAAGAAAACTGAAAATCAACATCAGCAACAGCAACAGCAACAACAACAACAACAACAACAAAGACGATGAAAATTATAAGCGGAACTAAGATGTTCGCCGATCGAACTCCTGTAGTTTGCTTTCCAGTCACTTGATATCGCAACGATAGTTATAGTGTCGTAGTTAGTCTAGCTCGTTGTCCCTGGTCGACATCATATTAATTACAGAATTACCAGACAAATAATAACAGTGTGCTACGAGGGTAAATTTCTTTGTCCAACTTGAGAAGTTAATGCATTGTGGCAACACAATGCAGTTTTGCTTTACACTTTATTTAAAGACTTGGTATCACCATCTTTTATAACAATGTCTGGCAGATTCAAACTGTCCTTGTGTCTTCTTAGTGATATCAAACAACAACTAGGTCTAGTTGTTTCCCGATCATCTGGGTATTTGAAATGCGACGACTGGTGCTGCATAAATAGAGTCACATTACCTCTCTCTCTCGGGAGCGTTTTCGTTTATATTAGTCTTGTCAGGTTGTTACATTTCTTACATGAAAGTTTCTGACTGCAATAATCTGACCAAATTGACATCATAATATGGATCCCTGTAGTCGTGCTGGGTGAATTGTAAGTTAGGGAAAGTAAAAATAAACTCGCTTCCGAAGAGGATACATCAAACAAATCTTTAAGTGGCCAGGTAATTACTTCGCTGAGTTAAAATTGGGCTTAATAGCGAATTGGTCATTACTTAATAAAGCTCACTTATTGGTCCACTTTAACTTTAATCGACTCATCTATATAGGTGCCGGGTGCAACAAGCACACGTATAGGACAAATTCCACGATAATTACATGTGCAATTTTATTGGGCGGCATAGCTCTGTGGTGGAATGTCGAATCAGAATGGTTGATCAGGCAAGAGTCAAGGGTCACTGCTCATTCGCCGCTGATCTCTGCGAGCGATTTCGGCGGGGACGACAAATGACACTTGGTCACTCTTGCGTCAGTGCAAACATACTCGGCTTTGTTTGCAAGCTAACATCATCTGACTATGATCGACCGATCGACCAGGGTTATATA